ACGCACCTGGTTCGAGGGCGGCACGCCGGGCGCTCGAGCAAGGACAAGCCGTGGAGTTGCTGCTTTGGCTCGATTTAGTAGTATTTCTGTGTTTTGCTGGTTCTTTCCCAAAACAGCAAGTGTTGATCAGCTTGAAAAGTGACTAATAAAGTGTGGGTAGTTTGCTAGAAAAGAACACATTTCCCAGATACTGTGTTTCTTCCTTTCGTAGGTACCAGCATATCCTGCATAGAAACCTCATTTATTTAGCTACAATTGCTGATGCGATGCCCCCCAGCACGCAGAAGACTGCAGACTGACTGCAGGTACCTGGACACGAGCAGCGATGCTTTAAGAATCCGTAGAAGCACTTAGTTTAGAGTCCCGCTGTAAGAGCTGAGAAGGCGCGGTATTGAAAGGCAGGTAAAAAGTCATCCATACTTCTATGTTAAAAACACAAATGTAGTTTTTGATGTAACGCGAGGCTAGCTTTTTCCCCATCGCTGTAAACAGAACTTGAGGGTGGTAATTACCACACTCCTTTTCCTTCTGAAAATCTCCATGTAGAACACTTACGAAAATAGCCTGGTTGTCAGGACAGCAATGCCTTTGGACGACTTTTGCAGTCTCATTGAAACAGACTGTTTCATGACTGAGGTTGTATAATAACAGGGTAAGCACTGGGCTAGGGAACTCCTACCTCCATCAGGACAAAATCAGTCACACGTTGCCGTATATATGTAAGCAGCAGACTGTTCTCTGTCTTGTATCGTTTAAGTGCTTAATAAACTAAAGATGTTCTTTGTAAATTAAAGTATGTTCTGCATTAATGTAACCTGTTAACAAAGGAGCAGCGCAGTGATTTGGTGAAACAAACGTTAACTTTTCTAAGATGGGCCTGTTCCATAACTCAGAGAAATTCAGTGCAAGGGGAAAATCGCACCTTTATTTCAGTGGGTCGAGGCTGTGTGTTTGCCCAAGTTGTCATTCCTTTTCCTGTTTGCTTTAAGTGCTCTGGACTGCAGACTCTGTAACCAAGTAAATTCTTGCATAATCAAGTGGATTCATCGGCTCCCTGGGTATTTGTCAGCATTTATGATCAGCTGTGTGCTCATGTGCTCTTATCCACAAAGAGCAGAGCTACGTGCACACCTCAGATGGTGCAGTGGCACAGCTAACATAAGCTAAACTAATAGCCTTGGTAAAAGGTCTCTTGTGGGGGTGTTACTTTCAGCTTACTACCCTGAAAATTACTTACTCTGTGATTGCTAAAACTTTAAGCTACTTGGGTTTTGGCAGTGCGTATCTGCACCACTAGTTCAAAGACAGGGCTGAGGCATTTTCCATCTCGTGTTCTTCAGTGTAATCTACTTGAAAAAGCCTTAAAGATGCTTCACGTTGTACAGTGCGTAGTGTTCACTTTTGTATGATGAGTCAGTAAGTAGGCAGTTGACAATTTTCAAACTGTTAAATAATCCCATGTTAATGAAATAAGATCTTTGTTACAAACCAAAGGTACAGTTTAAGGTGCTGCTTAGTTTCAGCAAGGTGCATATTTTAAACAGGTATGACCTATTAAATGTATATCTTTAATAAAGCAAATAGTTTACTTTTACAGAAGCTTTAAAATACAAAATGTACAGTTCCAGTTCAGAAGCATTAGCTATTCACAAGAAGCACTGCAATAAGGGTAAGTTAACTAAGCACCAAACCCTTGCACTTGGCAGTGTAAGTGAAGTTTAATGGCAAGACTCGTTTGCCAAGTGCAACAATTCTTAAAATTACCAGTGTTCAGAACAATCGGAAGCGAAGGACCGAGTAGCACCTACATGGTCAAAATGCAGACAAACTTTGTTTTCGTAATTCACTCGTGTAGGTCCAGAAACTTGCCGGCATTTGAAATTAGGAATAAACTGCAAAAACTATAGCAATGATTTTGGCACTTGTTAGAAAAAGTTCAAAATTAAGTTTCTTCATTAACTTCCATTTTGGTCTTAGTATGAATAACCAGTAAGTACAACCAAATGTAGGATTTAATATTAGATCTAAATGACAAGATTTAGAAAACTCAAACCATTCATCAAGTTAAATAACCACTAACATTTTCAGCAGAGGGTTTTCAAAATTATAGTAGTACAGACCATTAACAATTTACAGACAGAAGCCACACTGATTGTGCAAAGCACATTACTGTAAAAAGTCTATGTACAGCAAACGAATCTCTGTAAACATGGTAAGTATGAAGTTTCAGAAAACATGGTGACAATATCTTAAATACAGGCAACATTGGCATCCTCAAACAGCACAAAAGGTAACAATCTGGGCCTGCAAATACAGCCCGTCACCATACAAACAGAAAACGGTGGATGGGTCTTAAATACCCAAATGTTTAATAGTTTTAGTGTTGTGTATACTTTTTGTCTATATATATATATATATAATGTGGTTTTTTTTGGTATCTTTAGATATAGATGTACTTAGTTTGTAAAAACAAAACCAACGAATGTGCTTTAGCTTCATTGAAAAATTATGCAGTTAGAACTAATAACCCATTTTACTAGTAGTTAACATATTAGAATGATATGACTTAAGAAAAATACAAAAATAAGATTAATACTGTCAAAACTCTTATACCAGAAAATATTGTGGTTTTTAGACTCTTTCAAAGATGAAGTATGAAAATTTAAATAAGCTCTAACTATATAAAGAATCTTCTGTAATCTCAGTTAATATACAGTGGGATAGCTATACATGAATTTACCATTGTTCTTCAATTTTTAAGCACCAGTCACTCTCCCGGATCCACTTTGGTTGGAAGATTATTCCTAATTCCACAGGTTCACTTAATGGCACATATTGACTGCAAATAATTACTTTATCCTTTTAAAAAAAATAATGTTCTTTTCACTAACTGCTACCCCACGTTTCAGTTTCGTATCTTCTGAGCCAGCTCACAAATTTTCAATCGACTGTAGCATCTGAAATAAGACTTTAAATATACGCAAGTAGTCTTTGAGGCTATACTTTCACATACTTAAGGAGCACTGTGTGGATAACACCTTTGGCCAAATGAAGCAGTAGGAAACGGTGTATTTATCTGAAAACCAGTGTCCTGTTACCCACACAGGTGCCATCTACTTGAAGCAGCTCAGACGACGTTTGTGACACAAGGTTCAGTGGTTCTGCTGATCTTTACTTAGAGTAAGGAAACCACGACCAAACTCAATCTCCCAACTGGTTCTGCAGCAGTTTCACAGTGAACTCACTTGTGTGGCACATGGAAAGCTGCTGTCGTGCTTCATTTAAAAAAAAAGCTGCCCACAGGCCATTTATGGAGAATGCAAAGGCTTTACAGCTCGTCCGTTACAAATTTAAAACACAGTGTTGAGCAAAGTGACCACTATGTATTTGCTTCAACATATTCATTGTGTTTCAGTAAGATGTTTTAACTATAAATCTATATGAAAAATAGCTATAAAATACAGTGTTTCTTGTATGGTAGTCCTTCAGCAGTTCTTAAAAAAAAAAAAAAAAAGGTTTCGAAAGTAAAGGCAATATACACATTTTTTTAAAAGCATTTCTGCATCACAGTTTTGGGCTGTTTCATGTACGTTAAACAAACATATTGGCCATATTCGCTCAGCACTGTAAATCAGAATGCAAGAGGTTGCGTATCTCACCCAACGCCCGTCAGTTCCACGTTTCACGAGATCAACAGGATCTGGCCAACACAGGACCCCAGAACAAGGGCCGTGTAACTGACATGTGGCCCTGTGCTGCATTTTCCAATATGAAAAGCCAGCTAGTACTGATGCAGATACGACGGTCTGCGTTCGTGCTTTATTGGAAAAGATTTAAAGCCCTTATTCATCTGTTTGTGCTGGGAAGCCTGTTGCGATTGCTGCTGCTGCTGCGCGTAGGCGAAGTTGGAGGAGATTCCAGCAGCGGGCGTGCAGTCGTTGGCCGCTGCCCACAGGGGTGACGGGAGGATCTGCATTGCGTCGCTCCACTGCCCCACGGGGCTGCTCAGAGGGTACAGGGACGTGCTCTGCCCAGGGAGCGGGTTCGTGACTGAGGACGTGTGCTGCCAAGGGGCCTTTGGGGGCCAGGTTTTGGTTTTGTTATCCTGGGAAAACAGAATTGGTTGGGTTTAGCGTGGTGGGGTTTTTTATTTTGATACCAGAACACATTTTTTGAGACGATGCTTCACACCTCATGTTATCCCCTCCCCGAGACATTTTCAGAAGATCTCAGCACATTTGCTTGACCCATAGCACCACTCCAAGTCAAAACTTCTAGTGAGACAGGCAATAGTTTAGTTTACTCTGCACAGACAATTAAAATTAACTCTGTTGCCTCTTAGTTTAGCTTGAAATCTTTCTTTTTGTGGTAATTCCTGCTACACAGGAAAGAGATAAGTGATTTCCAATTAATATTTAAACTTGGTAACTTTGATAAAAGCACTTAGGACTACTTGAGTGCAAATGATTTGGGTTTCAGCTGAGGGAAGCAATCTGGAGATACAGGTGCTGTGCTAGTTTTCCTAGTGTAAACCACCCCAAAATGCAAACAGTAAAAATGACTATGCAAAGCCACTTTCAGCTTACCTGGTTACGGTCATCTGCTGCAGGAAGAAGAGGTGGTGATGGCAGCGTACTAGGTTCCTGTTCGCCACTACTGTGTTTTCTGCCGCCCAAAAAAGAGAGTGACAGTTTTTAAAAAATGACTCACATTGACCTGCCAGTAGCATATACCATTCTGTCTGTCATACCTCACAGCCTAGAACATGTACTGACATTTCAGCTTGTTTCATATATTTTTGCTCAATACAAGTAAAAAGCAATGCAGAAAAAAATCATTACTGAACACTGTCAAGAGGCCCTAGTTCTTTGAGCTACAGTTTCAGCAACATGCACATACTGTTCTGGAGGTAAAAGGTTTTAAAACAAGCAAGCTCCAGTCATCAGGCTTCCAGAATGAGCACATTCTTTGGACTCTTCCTTCTGCGTTGCTCTTCAGAGCACTACATGAAGCACAGGCATTTGTTCTTTTTGCTCCATGAATCCCTCCACAATCATCGATACCTGGTGGTCTGGCAGATTAACTCACCCAGTGTGTGCTTACTGTATTTCCCTCCTCTGCGTCTTTTGTTAAAAACACACGTAATGAATACTTTTTCCGTGACTCCTTATTAGATACCTCTCTTCCATTAATTCCCTTTTAGCATTTATTAAAGCTCAGTTCCTGTCACCTTTATATAAAGTCTTGATAAGTGTAAAGATTCTCAGAGTTGTGGTCAATGGCTCGATGTCC